ACTCCCCACAAACTCTTCAAAGCCAAAATAAAAAATAACTGCTATATAACTAGCACTCTGTTCCCCCTGCCTGGCGCTTCGCAGCCTCCCCCGGCGCGGGCTGGAGTCTCATTTCGGTAGTTGTCCAGCTGTGACTGGAGGAAAATGGTCCTTCCTGGGGGCTGGGAGGTATCGCCACCATCTAAATAGCCCCTTCCGCAGCCTCACGGCTTTGCAGAGCTGTGCTGCACTTTCCCTTCTGTTGCCTTTGCTTCTCCATCAGCGTTTCTCTGTAATCACCGGGATGTTTTAGGGGGAGCGCTTACCTTTTCCACCCTCCCCAGCCAAGTAGCTGAGAACTTGCCAGCTCCTGGAGAGATCTGAAATGCTGCTTAATGGGGGGATTAGTGTGGCCAACACCCGCCCCCCCCCCCCCCCCCCCCCCCCCCGCCCCCACCAAGCATCGAAGCGAGCCCGGTTTGCATCGTGTGCTGGACTTTGCTGGTCCTTCCCGATCCGGCTGGGGCTTGTTTGCCTGAGATTACCATCAGCGAGGTCCAGCCTGGCCCCCATCCAGGGTGGGGGGAGTGTCTGCTGCTGTCTTGGGGCCTTATCTCTGTGGAAAATCGAATTAAGCTGATATTCTTGCTTTTTTTTTTTTTTTTTTTTTTAAATATCCCCTTTTTCGCTTCCACTATCCTCGCCAGGCTTGGGAGCCCAGCGGGGGGGTGATGCCCGGTGAGGGGGTGATGCCCAGCGGAGCCTGGCACAGAGGAGGGGTCCCCTCCTGCCCTCCGGGTGTGGAGTCTGGGGACTCCAGGCTGTGCTGGGGGGCTTAGGCTGGGAGGACCACCATGCGTTTCCAGCACACGCTTTTTTCTCTGCCTTATGAGATGCCAGCTTGGGTAAACAAGGGGAAAATGGAAGTGCTTGCCAGAGACAGGCAAAACTGCACCTGGATATTGGAAGATGGGACCAGCAGTGGTTAGGAGGTATGACCTCCTCTGCCCAGGGGATTAACACCCTTATCTCCGCTTACCACCTGAAAAGTGAGAGACCTTTCACCTTTGGAGTGGAAAAAGCCTAATTTAGGAGTGGCTTAGTGCTCCAGAGAAGGAATGATTTTTACAGCAGGGCTGGGCTGGTGCAGCCTCAGGTGCATCTCTCTCAAAGGGTGGTGGCTGCATCCTGCACCAGGCTGGTACAGTCACCGGCCAAAGCACGTCCCCCTGAGAGCCCAGAGGCCTCTGAGTTTTACCGAGTGTCCTGTCAGTGGGTTATGGGGAGGGAGGGGGCTGTGCTGTATCGTCCCTGTCCTGGTGCTCCTTCCATGGGCTGAGGTGAGCACGGGTGGTGCAGGAGCATGGGGTGGTCTGAACGGTTGGACTTGATGATCTTAAAGGTCTTTTCCATCCTAAATAATTCTGTGAAATAGCATTCTCAAAAAAGCCTCCCTTGGAGCCCTCTGAGAAGCCCCCGGAGGGGGATGCCCTGATGGGCAGGGAGATGCTCCCACTGGGATGGTTATTGCCACGCTGGGGGAGCGCTGCTGGTATAAGGCCAAGGGGAACCATCCCAGTCACACACTGGGATGCTTGTATGCAAATGGGTGGATGTAGGAGGTGGGCGAGGAGTGGGCTGTGACTCCCCCCACGGCAGCAAGTCCCGTAAGTGATGCCCATGGCTGCCCTCATCCTGCACCCCTGCTCCAAAGCCCATGCAGCAAGGGCGGTATTTGTCCCTCTTTTTGCAGAAGCAGCCCCAAACGAGGCTCGGTTTGCACCATGGGGAGGGGTTTGCTCCATGCCCCACTGGCACCACAGGTGTCTTGTCCCCAGATTGATGGTCATGACCTCAGGGCCGCTTTGGGGCAGCCAAGAGGAGTTTGCAGAGAAGCAGAGGGACCGCGTCGCCCTTGGGATGTCTTTGCAGCTCGTTGTTTGTGCCCTCCTGCTGCTTGCAGGTCTTGTCCTCCTCCAGATTTTGGATTATTTGCTGTTTCTACCTTCCTCCCCATTGCCTTTGCTGGAGGATGGTGCTCCCCGGGTGTACCACCCAACTGTGCACAGTGCTGGGACACCGCTGTCCCCAGTGTCAGGGTGCTTGCAGCAGGATGCTCTGTCCCCACGAGCCCCCTGAGGCAAGGGACTTGCCATGGGTGAGGATGCTCCTGCTACAGCACCCCGCTCCTCTCCAGGCTTTGGTCTCCGCTCTCCCTCCTTTGGGACAGGGAAAGGGGTCAAGGCCACGGTGAGACAGGCAACCAACCCTTGCTGGTCACCCAGTTGGTTCATGGTGTTCGTGTGTATTTATGAATTTATTTTTTTTTTCCTGAAGAAACAAGGAGAGAGAAAAATATCTCTCTGTCCAAAATCACTCATTCTTCCTAATAATGAGAGCTGTCACCAGCCCTGCTTGGCAAGGAAATGATGCTCGCGGTAAATATTTGGTCTGGAACTGATTTATGGATGGAAAAAAATGAGATTAGTGGCTAATCACTACGTTGCAGGAAGTGCTTTGGGCCGAGTGCCGGGGCTGAGCTAGCAGGGAGCTGGGGCCATGCCCACGCTGGGGGCTTCGGTGGAGAAGCTGTGGTTGTGCCACTGCGTTGGGTTGGGATCAACCGGCAACAACGGAGGGGTTGGACCAGCTCTGGGGGACACCAGGCTTCTCCTCGCCTTGGTGCTTCACAGATTTGCTTTAAGGACTGGGGGTTTAGGGTCAGGAGCAGCTTAGATCCCCCTGGCAGGGCACAGCATGGCAAATATTAGCCGTGGGGCTGCCGATGGATTGGACCCCCATGGGCTCCAAGCCAAGAGGGCTGTTCTGTTGGACCTGGCTTGAGGCAACCATTGACCCCAACCCCAAGCCCAGCGCACCCGAAGAAGTCATTACAGTCACCCTAAAGGCAGCAGCAGCTTTTCCGGTGCGAGGAAACAATTAGCTTATTAGAGGGCAGTTTAATTTTCTTCTGCTAAGGCGGGCTGGCGAGCGCAGCACGGTCATTTCCTACCGGCAGGCACGGCCAGATGCCCCCGAGCGGGTGTCCGAGCTTGGGTGCGTTTCTGGCCGATGGTTTTGGAGCGATGGCAGCCGAGCGGGACCCAGTGCCTGGGAGTAAGTGTATAGGTATTTGCAGGAAAGCAGCCGTGGGACACAAAGAGGAAAGTTTCGAGAGCCGTGCCTGGGTTTATAGTCTCCTGATTTCCACTGCAGCAGGGCTCCCGGCATTGCGCGGCGCTGCCTGGCGTTGCACAGCTCTGGTTTGGTTTTGGGGCCAGATGCTCTGGGTTTCCCTCCCGGGCTGCGGCAGGAGGGGCTCAGCTGCTGCTGTCACAGGGGTACCGCGGTTCACTCACCTTCTTCTGCTCCCACATTGTTGTTTTTTTTTTTTTTTTTTGCCTAATTCTAACAATATAACCAGGAACCAGGGGTGGGGAGTTGAATTCAAGGCTGTAATTCAGTTGCACATCAATGCTGTCACCTACAAGAAAACCATCTCCAGCCCTTTGTGAGCTGTGATGCTGGAAGGGCAGGAGGGTCCTTGATGACCGTGAGCTGCCATACTGCCCACTCGGTGCTCGGAAGGGGATCTCTGCCCCGGATCCTCCAAATCTCCAAAAGGTTTGAGCTGCCTTTCGCGGAGGCTGCTTTGGTGCTGTTCTCCACCTTGCACTATTGCAGTGTGGCCGGGCTGGGGGCGGATGAGCCAGCGAGGCTTAGCAGTGCCAGAAACCTGCAGCCCAGCCCCTGCGAGCTGTCGGTGTCGGTCTGTGTTGCAAATCTTTCAGGTTCGTGTGCTGCTTTGGTCTCACCTGAGCCACCGAAGTGATGGCTGGTCCTTGTCACAGCGCGAGGCAGGCGGAAAAATGGTCTGATAAGTGAGAGGTGGGCATCTTGTAAGCCCCTGCTCTGCAGCATTTAGTTTCTGATAAACTTTTTCTAGTGCTAAGAGTTGTCCACACCGTGGTCCTGTGCTTTGGTGAGCTGCTCCCACATTTCTGTTGAGGCCACTCACAGTGTTTGCCTTGGCTGACAAGCTCTGCCGCAGTCCACGCCTTGGTTGTACTCAGTTCCCCTGCTTGGGCCCTAAAATGGGTGTAGGTGACATTAAATGACATTAAAATTGGAGCAGGTGCTGAGCGCTGCAGAGTGCTGGTGATCTGGGTACCAGTGCCTCACTCCCAGTGGGAAGGAGCCCGAACCAGTGCTGCTGTGATGCCCAGACAGCAGCATCTCTTGAGCTTAGCAGCACTGTGAGTGCTCGAGTCCATTTTAGGTGCTGTATCTACTGTCTGAATCTACTCCGTGATCCCTCCGTGCCTCAGTTTCCCCCACTTGAAGTGGGGCTGGTAGTGATGGACGGTGTTTAGGGATGCAGATGAGCTCTGAGTGATGGCTGACCTGGAGAGCAAGCCTTGGCAGCCTCTCAGCTGGTATAAAGATGGGCAGAGCAGTACATCCAGCCCTCCTGGCCCCAAATGGGACATTGCAGTCACCTGGGGTCTTGTGAGGAGATGTTCAAGGACTCAGATGTTACCACAAGCATGCCTTTGAACCATCAGCGAGGTCCACGCAGGTGGGTTTGTGTTGGAAATCTCTCAGGTTGGGGTACCCAGGGGTGACGCAGAGGGCTGGCGGGCAGCGTGATGATTTTGGGGATGTGATAAGACCATCAAGGCTGGGGGTGTCGGGGGTTTTGGACCAACTGACCCTTTTCAGCCAGGTTTTGCAAGAGGAAGAGCTCTCGAATTCAATTTGTTGCTTCATGAAAATTGCCTTTTTTTTGACGATGGGGAGGGATTGGAAGTTTTTGTAGGGAAATGGGTCTTATTGTCACATAAACTCATGTGGCGGCGCAGCATCTCCCCACGTGAGCAGCCATCCTACGCGTGCCACTGCTCCCTCGGTACATCGCTCCCTCCTCCCCACCTGTGAACAAATCCCCCCCCCCCCCCGCCCCCCCCGGTTTCTTGCCCTTCACTTTTCTCTCCATTTTTTCTCCTCCTTCTTCCTTCCAGGGTCAAGAAGAAGAACAAGCCCTTGAACCTCAAGATCCACAACAGCGTGGGAAGCTGCGAGAACATCCCCGCCCAGCGCTCCCCGCTCCTCTCCGAGCGCTCCCTGCGCTCCTTCTTCGTGGGGTACCCGCCTTTCCTCCCCTCCACCCCTCCTGTCCACACCGAAGCCACCTTCTCAGCAAGTAAGTCCCAGTGGCCCCCTCGGGTGTCCCCCTTCCATGAGGTGGGTGATAGTTGATGCCAAGCTGAGGATATGACCGTGGGAAAGTCGGGGCATCCGCCTGTGCATCGATGGTCTGGAGGACATCGGTCAAGTGTTGCACAGTGAGCACAGCCCTCGTGCCGGCGCCTCGCATCAGTATTTGGAGATACATGGGTGATTCTGGGCAAATATAAGCCTGGAAATTTGAATATATATGTCTGCGTATCTATAAAACCACTGTCATATTGACTATTGATTTATGCAAACAGATACGCTCCCGTAGCACGGGTGCAGGAGTGTGGCTGTTGTCACTTGGAAAAGCCATGAGCCTTTCCATGTTGCCTGGGTTGCTGACGCTGGCTGGCTGTCACTTGTGAGTGAATTTTCCAAGGGCTCCTTTGTAAATCCAGCCGTGGTTTTACCTTCGTGCAAGGAGGCTGCTTTTCAGACCTCTCCTGCTTGCAGGGTTTTGAGCCGCCACCGAGCCACGGGTGAAGCTGGCCCCGATGCAGACGGGTCTGGTGCAAACCTCATGGAGCAGCCGACCCCAATCCTGCCTGTGGGTCTGCCTGGGGAGGTTTGCCCTCTTCCAGGAGATGCTGGTGGTGGGACTCGATGGGTGGGTTTGGGTTGCCGGGCTCACCCAGGGCGACGCTGCTGGCCAGGGAGAAACAGCCTGACCCTTATTTTCCAGTCTCAGACCGGTGCCCCAGTTAATTCTGCGGGAATTGAAGCTTTTACAAGCCAGGCGTGGCTCTCAGCATTAACAAAAACTTCCCAGAATATGCGTGGCAGCTGCTGGGAGCGATTTGCATGCCAAGAGCTGTCATGGGGAGGGCGATCCCCCCTTGCCTCTTGTTGCTCAGCTAAAATCTTCCTCCAACTCTTTCTCCAGGCTGGTTTTCTGCCACCTTCCCCTCCTCAGACTTTTCCCTTGTTTGCTTTCCCAAAACGTGGTCTGTCTGATGCGTTTTGGGTTCTTCCAGTTGTTCTTACTGCTTGGCTCTTGGCTGAAGAAAGGGTTTGAAGGCAACACCCTTCCACGCCCATCCAGCCCCCTGGCACTAGCAGGTTTTCCTCCTCACCATCCTTCTCACCTGGGTGGGAAGCAGCACTGGGATGGCTTCACCAGCTGCCCCCAGCACTGGTTTGCAGGCGCTGGGTGCTGGTGTGATGGGTCAGTTCCTTTGCCCTTCTTTCATCCCCCACAGCCACGCCTCTCCCAGCTTTCTGCAAGGCAAAAACCTTATGATTTCTTTCACTCTTTCTTCGTTAAATGCCAGTCGGCTGCTGTTTAGGATTATTGAAGGGTCATTGAACCATTTCCGTCATCCTCCTGCTCCCCTTCCTTTGGCTTTGGTGGCAGTGGGACCTGGCAGGAGCTCTGTGGGCAGGCAGTGATATTTCTGGAGATGTTCAACTATCTGACTCTCGCTGGCACAGCCAGCAGATTTGCCTGGAGCAAGGGGTATTTTTGCATTGTTATTTCCCCCATGGTATTGGCTGAGTTCAACTTGCAGCCCAGAACGATGGGGACTAGCAGACCAGAAACCAAGAAATAAAACCCATTCTCAGCAAACCCCCACCGTGTCTTGTTGCATTAGGTTTCCTCATGGATCAGCGTTGGATTACATCCCGTGGAGTGATAACCTGATGTAATGTGGCATTGCAGGAGTGTGATGCAATGAGAAGTGATGGGCTATCAAGTGACTAACGCTGCTGGAGAGGTGTCTCTTCTCATTTCCCTTGGCCCTCCAACTTCCTTGGCTGCCGTGAATGTTTGTTTTCTGGCTAGACATGAGATCTGGAGAGAGAGGCTTGGTTGCACCAGCTGGCTGGTCCCTGTTGAGAGGTTTTAGCATCAGTGAAACCATTTGGTCCTTGCAGGATCAGCATCCATGCACTCAGTGACCCTTGCTCCTGGGGATTTGTGGGGAAAATTTGATGCAAGGCAAAAAAATCCCACTAGATTGTAGTTTTTCTAGCTCTCTTGTGTTTCTGCATCATTTCTTTATTGGTGGCCTTGTCCTCGAGCTGCCTCCCAGCTTTCTGTCTGCTTCCACATTTGCTTTCCAGTTTGTGACCCTGTGGGAAGTGCGGTCGCATCCTGGGCGCAGCAGCCGGGTGCTGAGCATGGCCCTGCAGGGAGAGAGATGGGGTTTAATGGAGCTTGATGCCAGGGTTCGTTACCTTGCAGGGAGAAGATGAGTTATGCCAAAAGATGCGGAGGCATGTTTATTTGTGGGGAGGAGTAGATATTTCTGCAGCTTTCCCCACGCTCGGGGTGTTGTGGGACCTGGGTGGCTTCCCCCCTCTCTGGCACGTGGTTCTTTGCGTGTCCTCGGGTCCCCTGCTCACCTCTTGCTGCTGTTCTCACTGGTCCAGAGTACCAGGGTTTGGAGGTCCTGTGAGAAGCTCCAGTGGTGGTTTGGGGGGTCACACCTCGCCCCATCTGCTGGGCTGCCGCTATTTCTCATTGCCTTTTCAGTGCAGTGGGTTTCCCATGCGCTGCTGGATGAGCTGTATGGGGGTCACCAAGGGTGTGAGCCAGTGCATCATGCCCACCCCCCATCCCAAGGACCCCCCCTGTCCCCAACCCCATCCTTGAGGCACAGATGCAGTTTGGCAGCCAAGTTCTTCACACTATCCCATCCCTATGACCATGGGTACCTAAGATTTAAAAAAAAAAAACGCCTCTTCCCTTTATCTCTTGTGGAATCAGCATGGCAGTGCCTGGTATGCTCTGGATTGATGTGAAATTACTTCCCTAAACACTGGAACAAAAAATTGTTATTGTTGTCAGATTGAGATGCGAGAGAGGAGCCCGGTGAGCCCTTGACGAGACCCCTTTCTCCCTGGCTGTCTCTCAGTGATCTCTTTTCAACAGCCAGCGCATCTTGCTGCTTGTGGCAGAAGCATGCTCCCATCTGAATCATCTCTGGTCCTGATCGGATGTGGGTTTGGATGCTTCTCTCTTGTTTTTAACAGCTGATTTGCCCTGATAGCAGTGGATTTTCACAGACGTGGAGCGAGAGGGTGAAGGCTCGCAGTCAGCTGCAGAAGGAGCCTCTTTCTCCTGCAGCACAAATCTTACTGGAGGGGTTACGTCCCCTTCACGCTGGGCCAGAATCCCTGCGAATTTTGGTTTTGAATTGATTTTTCCTTAGCAGCCTTTGGAGAGGAAGCCGAGGCGGGAAGTAAAGATTTTTGGGGTGCCTTTGAACTCTAGCTTGTCCCTGAAATAGCCCAGCCCTGTGGCTGAGAGATGAAAGATGGTTTGTCTGGCTCCATCCAGGACCCTCTTTTGGTGCACCTGGTCACTCCTGGTGAGCAAGTGACCACCAGAGACGTGTTATTACTTTGAAACAGGATTTAGGACCCAACACCCCTTGACTTGGCTACCAGCACCAAGAAATCGGGTTGGATCTTCTAATTTTTGCTGTAAAGGCTCATGTCTAGTAGGTCCTGTTTGCGTCTCCGTTATCTGGGTGTCCCGGAGGTGGCTGGCATTGCTCCTGGGCTGTGCCCTCTGCCTGTCCTCTCCCTCTGCAAGGCCAGCTGGAGCACTGTTACCGTGTGCATCCAGACCACTCACCTGCTCAGTGGTCTCTGGGGTGGGCCAACAACATCTTTTCCATCTTGGACTATTTAAAACAAAAGGGGGGTGGAAGGAAGGACAGAAAAGGTTGCGTGTGACTTTGCTGTGCTAGGACAGAAAAATGAGGAGCCAGGCACGTGGCTGCACAGGGAACGTCCTCGCTGCTGCCCTTCCTCCAACTGGTGTCCAACCTGCAGAATGAAAGGAGCAGCCAGCGCAACCCAACCCGAGACCTTGCGGGTACCAGGAGTGAAAAACCCATCATCTGTCCCCAGTGGCTCATAAACTGAAGCACTGTGCGAAGCTTCTTCATGCAAGGACATCGCTGGACACTTTCCCTCAGCGCACAGGGGAGAGGCTCTTTCTGTGGCCTGAAAGCAGAACAAGAGCCACGGAGCCTCCCCTGCTACGTGGAGTTATGAGCAATGACCCCTCAAAGCCTTTGTCTTGGCCCTCGAGAGCCTTATGGCTGTTTTAAGGTGGTCTCCAGCGATGCCCACCTCCCCTCTCCTCGGCTCCCAGCTGGGTGCATCAGCCCAGTCCTCTGTGCCAGCTCTGTTGCATCCACAGATGCCTTTGGTTCTGCTCTGGCCATGTCCCTGATGGGTCACTTCTCCTGGGTCCCGGTCCTGGCTCTGCCTCTTGGCTTTGTGACCAAGGATTTTGCAGTTTATGACACTGACTTTCTGCCCTGAGAAGCACCCTGACTGTGCCTACTTGGGGTTTGGGTGGTCAACCAGTGATGGTCAAGCAAGGGGCAAGTGCTGAGATGCTACCAGAGCTCCTTGTGCTCCCTCAGCCCCTGAGCATCTGTGAAAGAGCCCTCAGAAGGGCTGGTGTTGGGCAGGTATGGCTGGTGGAGAGGGAATCAAGATAATGTCCGGTGGATCGAGCCCTGCGCTGGGAATCCAGGAGCCCTAAATCCAGCCTTTCTGCTGGAAAAGACCAGGCAGGACCCGAGAGGAGTGTGATGCTGGTGTTGAAGGTGCCGTGGGGCACACGTGCAAGCGGTCGGTGCCATTCAGACCATGACCTCTCTCTGCAGGCAACCTGTCCCCAATGCTGGGGGTGGTTTTGTGGGAAGAGACTTCTCCTTAACAGTCCCCTGGCACAGACTGCCTTCAGCAGGGGACTTGCCAAGCAGGACTTCAGTCCTTTGTAACCATCAGTGGTTTTCTCCTCCCTGAACCTGCCCTGCTGCCAGTACAAGCCATGGCACGAGCGCTCCGTGGCCACGTTGGCAGCCTGGCTGGGAGCTCCCTGCAGCCCACATCTGGCCACAGCTGGCTGCCTTGCCACCGAGCCGCTCCAGCTGGCAGCGAGGCACCGGAGGGTTTCCTACCCCGGCAAGCGCCGTGCGGAACTGAAGAATACAGCTTTGTCTGGGTAAGCCTAATTGACCCTGCAAGGCTATGAACTGGGGGGGAAAAAAAATCACAATGCAAGTATTTAAGCCAGCGAAGCGCCTGAACATGACATTTCGTCTGTATAAATAGGATTGTCGCGCTGCAAAGAGGAAATGCCGGGATTATAAAGTGACTCTGTTTTCTTACTAGAGAGATGCTCTGAGAATAGCTCTGCCTTCTTCGGCTGCTTCGGATGATCCCCTCTGCAAGGGCTGAGGTTTCGTTTCAAGCTGTTGGATCATCCTTCCACCCGCGGCAGGGACACCGCAGGGACGTCGCTGGGTTTGGGCCTGGCAGCGGTTGTGTGCAGGGTATTCGCCGTGTGCGCTAACGGCAGGGGCAGGCTGAACTCCCTTTTTAGCTTGAATCCCACATGGATTTTATATCATGGGGAGGGAAAGCCGCTGCTGCTGCTCCGAGCGTTGCTGCAGCTTCCTTTGCTGCTGCAGCTGAGCTATTCGGGGATTTCTCCCATCCTATTTTGGCCCTAAAACCAGCTAGAGTGAGGACCAAGGTGTCTGGTGGAGGGACTTTGCGCCCTTGGGTGCACCCTTTGCTGCGGAGCAGCTCGCTGGTGTTCTTGGCTCCCTGGTTGGGACCATGCGGGCAGTAACCTCTGCCAGCATCCCCCATGGCATCATGATGTGGCCCCCGGTTGTGATTTCTGCCTGGGGGTGGGGTGGTAGAGATACACCTGACACTGGACCTGTCGTGGTTGTCTTCCGGGTGATTGCTGAACTGTTTTGGGAGGAGGCTGCACCCCGGTGTCTCCCCATAATCTCTTTGGGGCACTTGACTGCCCTGGAGCCAGCACTGGGAGTGTTTTGGTAGCTGCCCGGGGTAGATGTGGGTCTGTAGGATGTCTACAGACAAGTGCAAAGTCTCCTGGCCGTTCCTTAACTTCACGGTGATTCATCCTGGGATGCTTTCCAAGTTCACTTTGATCGATTTTATCCATCTCATTCATAATGCGAAAATCGCCTAATGCTGTTTGTTGTAGTAGGAGGAGGAGGAGGGTTTGTTTATCGGGCTGTCGCTGTGATGGATAACATGTTCACACCAATTCCCTGGGCATCCAGAAGGGTGCCAGGAGATGAATAAGGGGGATATTGTGCCAAAACACCGTCCCCACCGGTGTGGTTCAGCACGGCTGCCAGCCCCAGGTGATGCTCCTGGTGCATTCAGTGAGGGTGTTTGGGCTTGGTGAGGGCATCGCTGCCCTCCTGATCTGCCCCCAGGGAGGGTGGAAACCCAAAATAAATGAAATAGGGGAGCTCTGGCTGCTCTTCTCCATGCAGGAGATGCCCAGGCATCCTGGCTCCCAGCCGGAGAGGGAAGGGGAAACATCCACACCGGCAGCCGAAAGGCACCGGGGAGCTGTCGGGACGGCAGCGGGGGCGAGGAGGGCGTCACGGCCGAGGCAGCATCCCGGTCCCCGTCACCTCGGAGGTGTGCGGGTGCCACTCAGGGACCCGCGGCGGCTGTCACAGCTGCCTGTCACTGCCGGGGAGCCGGGCGGCAGGGCTCTTCTGCCGTGTCGGCTGTCAGAGACGCGCCGGAGGCGGCTGTCACCCTCCGCCCGGGCGGTTTCCCCCCTTCCCTGCTCTCCTCCCAGCGCATCTGATCCCATCAAGCACGGGCTGTTGACTCGAGGATAAGCTGTGCCGCGCGGAGCAGGAGCCGTAACCTTTGCCGGCGCGACGCTGCAGCGAAGGAAAGCGCGGAGGTTTTGGGGTGTTCGGGTGGAGGGTGACAGCCCCCGGCATTGGGTGCCTGGCCATGGGGTCTGGGCCGCTCTGCGAGGATCGATGTGCTGGGTGGCACTGCAGTGTCACGAGGTTGGGGAGCAGGGTTGGGCCTTTGAGGGCCCCTCTGGGGGATGGGGGAGCCAGGAAAGGGATGGGTGGTCTGCCGAGGGGTCCCCCTTGGGCTGCTCAGTGTGTACCAGCTGTATTCTTCCCTGGGAAATTATACCCATGCCCATTAAATAAATACCGCCTCAGAGAAGGAGAGGGGAGGAAAAAAAAAAAAATCCTAAACCTGCCCTTACACACTTGTGCGAGGGGAATTATGGCTCAGAGAGCTCTGATTTTGAAGCTGTAAAGGAGGTTGCTGGTGATAAATGTATAAGTAATGACTGACACCCGGGCAGGGGAGGTCAGGAGACATCAATCGACGCGGGGCAGCGCGGGGTCATTAGCGCAGGGTCGTTAGCGCGGGGCAGCGAGCTGCTAGCAGCAGCAGGGAGGGGGGAGGCGGGCAGCCTGCTGTCACGCTTCAAAGCTTGTGAGGGTCAAATCATCCCACTGCCATGGGGGCAGCCACGGCACCTCGAGTCTGGCATTCCTCCATCACAGGGTCTCTACGACAAAGCCTGGTCCCCCCCCCCACGCCGTCAGCGGCGAGATGTCCTCCCGTGGCCGTGAAGGGGTTTTTTTCTTGCAATAATCTCTAATTGTGGCAATTTGGGGGTTTTGATGAGAATATTCCTCCCGTGCCGGGCGGGGAGGCTGCTGCATCTCCACCTTCCCTTTGGGCATCACCCCGATTTAATATGGCACAGGGAGAAATCACTTTTCCTTCAGGTGGGAATCTCACGTGCACAGGTTAAAGGGGAGAATCGCCAATTAACTTCAAAGCCCCCCAAACCCTTGAGGCTGTTCCCCATGACAGTGGGACACCTTCCCCTGCCCCACTTTGCTTGTTTTCCCTCCTGCAAACAGCAGGTCTATTGTCAAACGCCGCGATCCTTCATGTATCGCTTCCTCTAATGAACATAATTAGCTGTGAATCACGTACATCTCATTTTTGTTAGGAGGTTAAAATCCCCGATACACTTTAATACATTTTTGCAGTGAGCACATTTAGAAAGTAATTAAAAGGCTCAGCCGACTTTGCCTACGTCCCCTCTCCCCCTCCCTGGGACGGCAGGATTTAATTGGGGCCAGCTGAAAGTTAGTGGAAATAAATTGTGGCTGATAAAGCGGAGGTTGTAATTTAATTCCGAGAGAGGATCTGTTCTTGCCTGGGTGTTTAGTTCATCAAGGACCGGTGTTGAGGGACAGGGAGGGGAATTTATTTTTGTAATGTGATTTACTGATGAAAAAAACGCCTTTTCGGGAGGGATAGTGCTTGTGTGTGAAGTGGTCCCACTCTTTAGAGCATTGTCTCCAGGGCTTGCGGGCATCCCTGGCAGGCTGCAGATACTGGGGTAGCAGGAGGGATGCTGCTCTGGGAGCCCAGGGTGGGTTGTCTCAAGGGCTGGTGAGAAGCATGGGTCAAAAATACTGGTAAAACAGCCTACCCGGGGCTGGGGGCAGCAATTACCTTAATTGACTTTGTAGTCCTTCAACATCTTAATTGCTGGCTGTGCCGGAGGGGTGATCGGGGCTGAGGCAGAGGAATAAGAGGAGCCGGAGAAGCTGCTGGCGGGAGGTGCTGGAGATGGATATGTTTTAGGATGCTCCCAAGACTTTTAACAGCGCCTTGCACGGGAAGCGGCATGTAAATGTAACCTTCAGAAAGAGAGCGCAATTAAAACACTCTACCGCCCGCTATATTAAAATGGGATATTAAAGCAAACAGTGGTTCTCCCCGCTCGGAGGGATAATATTGAAAGCGTATTTAGCAAGGGATTTGCTGGCATACTGAGCAAATGGCCGGGCTCGCAGCTGGGCTCTGCTGCTCGGCTCCGCGGCTCGGCTCGCGGCGGGGCTGGTTGCTTGTGTCCGGGAAACCTCTTGAATCCCTTCTTGAAAATCCAACCTTTGAATCCCCAGCACTGATCCCCGCCGGCTGAGCATCTGTGGGGCAGGACGTCTCCCGTGGCTGGGGCAGCTGGCAGGAGGAGGAGGAGGAGGAGGAGGAGGAGGGTCTCTGCCCTTGTTGAGGCTGAAGGGGGTTGTGGAGTCCAAGCACAGCTGTGCTGCTAATTACCTGCCCACTCTGAGCTGGAGCTAATGAACTTATATCTTTTTCCTTACACCAGCCAAGGTCCCATTACCCTTTCTCCCTCCTTTTCCCTTAGAAGGAGAGCACTGAGGATGCTTTTTGCCTTGTTCTTCTATTTGAATATGAGTTAAATTGCCTTCTGAGTGGCTGACACTTGGCTCTTTGTTCAGCCGCAACCGTGAGATGTGATGTCTTATTAATAAATGATGCAGTTGCCGTTTCAGCTTCATTTTCCCTTTCTTGTTTGGACGTCATGATGTGGCTCTGATACCTCTGCAAACCCGCTCTGTGCGCACATAAGTGCAGCACCCATGAGGTGGGTGCATCACCTCCCACCTCTCTCCCTGGCTCCAGCTGGGTGCTGGGGGCAGTTAAGGGGGCACAGGAGACCCTGATTCCCTGCGGACCCAAGCGCAAAGCCAGAGGTCTCTTGCTTTCCAGAAAGGGAGCCCAGCAGGGTCTCTCTAAGGGGATATATCAAGTAAACCCTATTTCTTGTGTGCATCCTTTGCTCCCCTCTGCAAAAGCTTGAACCCCGGATCTCACCTTTATTACCACCTGATGGTTTTCCCTGCCTCTCCTCTCCCTGCAGATACGCTGTCAGTGCCTCGCTGGTCCCCGCAGATCCCCCGTCGAGATCTAGGAAACTCGATAAAACACAGGTACGCCAGCCCTGCCGCAGCACCGGGTGAATCCCCCCCCGAGCTGGGGGATGAGCATCTCCCTTTCCATCTCTGGTGTGGGACGGGGGGCTTGGGGCCGTTCCCCCTGTTTCCCATGCTGGGCTGCGCTGTCCTAGAAGCCCATTTAAATTCCATTTCAGTTCAGATTTGGTTTAGATAAGGCTTGAGTCGCTATCAATAAAAGCTGTGTATTATCCGTACCTTGCCAACCTTCAGCAAATTTCCCATCTCCGGATTATTGCCCTTCCATATCTACTTCAAGAAAGAAAAGCACTAGAAATAGCCTCAGTGCTGCTATTTGATGGGGCAGCTGCTTCTCCAATGGGCTGAAAACTTGGGTCCCCAGGGCAGGGAGGTGTTTTGGGGTCTCTGACCATAGCTGGAGTGGGGGGTAAAGCTGGGGAGCTGCAGTAGGCTGGTGGGTAATACTCATCCTGGCTGGCTTGGACCCCCTTTGGAGCAGGCTCTGCCCTTCTGCACAACCAAAAAAGGGCTCAGATTTGTGCTTTGGCATCCCTAGAAAAATGCCTCAACACCTGCAGCAGTGTTTGAGGGCAGCAAGGAAAGGATAAATCAGTGCTCGGTGGCTTGGGAGACGTTCCTGCAGGAGCATGGATGGGGCGGCTCAGCTTCATCTCTCCCTGGCCACTCTCCGTGTTTCTCTCTGCAGGTTTTCCACCAAGTACTGGATGTCTCAGACCTGCACCGTCTGCGGGAAAGGAATGTTGTTCGGCTTAAAATGCAAAAACTGCAAGTACGTTGTGGCACCAGGGCTGTTTGTGTCACTCCTTAATGTTGCCAGGTGGATAATTAGTTTTGCATGGAGCCGAGCAGGGGCTCGGACACAGGGAGACCGACCAGCCTCTCTCCAACTCTTCTTTGCAAGAAGCTTTAGTGAGACATGAAACTGGGTGAAGATCACCCCAAAATGGGGCTGAGGTCGGGTCTGCGTGCTGGGGATGGGAGCGGGGTCCTTGAGGAGGATGCTGCCCGCCAGACCTTGGCTCTGCTTGTGCCAGAGCTCTGAGTCCGATCCCGAGAGCCTCCCCACTCGCTGCCATCCTTGGCCTGGCTTTAGATACCCACGCTGTCAGGTTACATCTGCAGGAGATGGGGGGATGGATGCACCGGACTGGGGGCTCAGAGCAGCTTGGATGAGAGCACTGCCTGCCTGCAGGGTAGCTCTGGGCATTGGATGGGTTTTGCCCACAGCCTTGGGCTGTATTCTCTAATTTTTTTTTTGCATCAGAAAAATGTTTTGGGGGCCTCTTGTTTCCTGGCAATGTTGTGGCACCAAGGAGCCAACCCACTCCAAACCACAATTAAACTGCGATGTAAAGGAGAGGGGCTGTGCTGGCCGCAAAATTGGGCAGGACTGGAAAAAGATAGAGAGGCAGAGGCTGGGGCCACTTATACTGCTTTAAATCCGGTGTAGCCCATCTCTTCCACAGTATCATACAGCCATCAGAGCTTAGTAAAGCTGCTTCTGGAGACACGATTGCCTCTTCTAGGGATGGGTGCTGGGAATACGCTGATTGTCTGCGAGTAACTGAATTAGCCAGAGCTATGAAGTGATAACGATTGCTGTTGCCGTTGATTAAATGCTGATGAGTTAGAAAATTGGGATTTAAACCTGGACCAGAAAAACCTGGTTACTCTGCAGTTGGCGGTGGCTTTCTGGAAGTGATAATATCAAATATATGTATTTTAAAGTGGTGGTTCCTAGTGCACTCGGTGCTCAAGCGACTGGAGGCTTTGCTGCCTACGAGCCCTGCCTGGGGCTGGTCCCCGTGGAAGGAGGGATGCTGTGACCTGCCCCTGCGATGCTGCGGCTCCGGCTCTCTGTTGGGCCTGTAGTCACTGAGAAAAGAGCAAATAAATTCCCCAGCTGTAAAAAGTTAGGGAGAATATAAAGTATTTAGGTTTGCAGACTTTGCCGTAGCCACCTGGCCCCGGTGTCGCTTTCCCCAGAAACAGGAGGGGAACAAGTAGGTAAAACAAACAAACAGACCCCAAATCCCCCCAAGCCACAAATACTGAATTAATCTCTGCCTTCCCCTCTAGGAACGGCTTTGTAATAAAAGCTAACACGCACGGCTCCTGAATTTTCATTACCCAGCTCATTGACTTGTAGCTGCTGTCTTTTTTTTTTCATCCTTTACCCTTGTTTTTTTCCTCCTTTTTGCCTTCTCCCCCGTGGCTCTCCCCGCTCTGCTGGGGCTGCCATGGTAGAGCGTGAGTTGGGGACTTGTTTCCATCTGTAATTAAGAACGAACGGGAAGGTTTCGGGGCGGCGGGAGCCTGCTTATGCCTATATGCATGCCCCGTGGGTGAAACCCTCCATAGACTTCTGCCCCAGCTCTGTGAAACCAGGCAAAGCTCTGCAGAATATTCAATGTAGCCATAAATGCTCTCATTATTTTTGTTAAATGTCCTGGTAATACAGCTAAGAGGGGAGGGCACAAAGGCAGAGATTCATCGGGAGCCAAAGGGGGCTGAGGCAGCCGCTTCCTTCCCTTCTGCTGCCCCTGAATTTAATTAAGCGTAAAGCAGCGTTAGCACTGGATGGTGGTCAGGCAGAAATGACTGTCCCCCGAGCATGGGTCTCTGGTCCTTTTATTTCAGCAGAGGCTGGCAGAAGTGACAATTTCAGGCATCCTCAAGCTGGCTGGGGGGTGCCCTGGTCCTCTGCAACTGGTGGAGAAAGGGAGGAGCTGGGCAGGCCCCCACCCCGGTTTGGGGGTTTCTGCACCCCTCCATTGGCACAGATGCACCCACCGTGGCTCTTGTTTGCCAAGAGTCCTCCCAGCCAACCCCCCCCCCGGGCGCTCCGGGACGCGCATCCCGTGCCGGTTCTTCTCCCTGTGCCTGCGGCCAGGGTGGGCAGCTTGGGAATCGCGGGTCTTCCCGAGCGCAAGCTGCTGGACCCCGGGGCCCGGGAGGGTTTGTCCTTGGGACTGCTCGGCCAGCGAGCACCCAGGGGCTGTGTGCGACCCAAACACTACGTCAAATCGTCTTCCTGGGTGAGGAAAGGGTCCCCGGTCTGCAGCGATGCTCCCTGCTCCGAGCTGCATCCCTCCGGCCGTACCGTGATGCTCCGTGTCCCCTCCGCTCTCGCTTCTCACACCTTTTATTCTGTCCCGTGCTAGGCTCAAGTGCCACAACAAATGCACCAAAGAGGCCCCTCCGTGTCACCTGCTGATCATCCACCGTGGAGGTAAGGGCCTTTCTTCCCCCTTCTGCCTCCATGGATGTTGCCACCAGGTAAAACTTTCAAAAGCCCCCCGGGCGATTCGGGAGCCCGACCCTCGCTGACGGCCGGCCGGCGGGACGGAGGCTCCCGAACCGCTTGGGCGCTCTGTGAAAATTTTACCCACCGTTTTTTCCGCTTGTAGGGAGACGAGCCGTTCGGGGCGAGGCAGATTTGCATTGCAAACCACTTCCACCCACCCTTCCCCTGCCTCCTTTTCTTTTCAGATTCCCCACCGCACGGGGTAAGTGCAACAGGTTTTAGCCTTTTGCTACTGTTGAGAGCTTAGGGTGGACGCGTGGGACCCCAAATCTCCCGCGGCGCTGTCGGTGCATGGGGGTCCCCGCCATGGGGACGCGGCCGTGCCACTGTGGATGCTCGTGGTGCTTTTGGAGCTGCCTTATCCCACTCTCCTCCGGGAGAGCCCATCCTAAAATCCGCAGAGGAGGGAGAACTTTGCAGCAGGACGACGGGCGTTGCTTCACACCTCTTTTCTTCCAGATTTTGGCCAAGTGCTCCCTGCTGGCCAGAGGACTGCGACCGCCTAAGGGAAATGCTTCCAATTTCTATTGCCTTGAATTCTGAGCTCTTGTGGCCGTTACTTTGTGTTAAATGCCATCAAACCCGCGCTCATCGGTTTAATCATGGGGAAATGCGTTGCGCTGGTGGCACCACGCAAGGCGAGTGGGGATGCTGTGGCTCGGAGGGGGGGCAATTTTGCAGCCTCCGCTCTGGTTCCCGTGCCCTTGCTTGCAGCACTTTTGGGTGGAAGGGGCAGAAGACCCCCCTGTTATGCTCCGAGCTGCTGCAAACCCTGACTAGGAGGCAGGGAAAGCAGCGTCCTGCGCTGCCAGGGGCAGGTGGGCTCCTGGGGTGGGCAGAAATTGGGGTTAATGGCTGCGGTCTGCGCTGTTGCAAGAGCCGGAGCTGCTCGTTGTGTGTTTTAACATGGGACTGAGGAGCAGTGTGGTTTTGGGGTGGCCTCAGCATCAGTGAAAAGGCCCCTCCAAAAAGCTCTTACATGTCTTGACCTGCAGCCAGCCCATTCTTAAGTTCCCCAGGCTGCAGGCTGGCTTTGTCCCCCCAAAATCTCTCCGCCAAGAGCAGGGTGCTCTGAACTGGCTCCTTCTCCCCATCTGGAAATTCTGTGATTAGGAAGAGGATGGTGCCTCCTCTTGATGCTGGCTGACCCCCTGACTCATGGGGTGGCCAGAGTGGCTGCTGAGCTACCCCGAATTGCAGCCCCTCGGCGTGGGGAGAAGGGTGCGGCTCGCACCCCACCGTGGGGGCTTTAGGCCCCCACATCCCCGGGGGGGTTTGGCTGTAGCCTGGGTGCAGGAGGGGGCCTGAAGGCTGGCTGCCATCCCGGGGCAGGAGCCGAGCAGCTGGAGGTGCTGTGGGGGATTGCTTTGGAGAGCGATTCAAGAGCAGTTTGCAATCGCAGGGTTGACCCTGAGTACTTCTTCGAAGCCTTCATGTCTCTCCATCTCTCTCCCCCTCCTCTCCATCCCCTTTTCCCCCTCTCTCCCTTCTTATTCCAGCAAGGTTAGTCCGGACAGAGTCGGTGCCCTGTGATATCAACAACCCCTTGCGGAAACCCCCCAGGTATTCGGACCTGCATGTCAGCCAGACGCTCCCCAAAACCAACAAACTCAACAAGGTGAGCTGCTCCACCGGCCCTGAATGCCCCTCTCGCTCTCACCCCCTGCCAGAGGGGACCCCGCCCTGTGTCACTGAAATGTCAACAACTTTTGCTGGTTCTTCGCATGCAGCTGCTGCTCTTGCAGCCAAGGGGGCCAAAGCCAATGACAATGGCAAATGCCACCTGAGTTGGGTCGCTTGAGCCACCCCGTTTGCCTCGGCTTTCTCCTTGCATGAGGAGCAGTAGCTTACCCAGGGCATGTCCTTCCATTGATCCTGTTTGGTGGGCAGGAGCATGGCTTGGAGATAATTTCTAAAAGAAGGAATTTAAGAGCAGGAGGGGCCATGCCCTGACCTTGTGTTTGGGTCAGGAAGGGACCGGTGGGTTCTCCCCAGGATGATCTGCCAGGACCAAGCCTTGCAGGTGGCTCCGTGGCTCTCCAGGCACATCCACAGCTATAGGACTGATGTGTGTGTCAGCACGTGGGCAGGAGCTGCCTAGAAACCTGCTTGGGGAGCTTAAATTAAAAAAAGTAATCCCATGGACTGGTGCTAATTCAAGAAGTGGAGCGAGGGTGAGCTTGGTGTTGAGGCAGGATGAGCCGTGTTGCAAGCAGAGCTGCAAACCCCTCACCCCTTGGGTTTTCCAGTGAGGGTTGCATCTGCTGAGGTTATTTCTTTTAAAAATAAGAGTGGACCAGCACTTTCAAATTAGCCTCCCACCAGTCCTGCTCCATTGTGGCCTCTCAGTCTTTAGATCTAAGATGAATTTGGGGTGGTTTGAGGTCTCTGCTACCACCTGAGACTTCCATAAATAACAAATTTATTGTTTCAAAAAAACCAAGCCCATAATTTGATTGTGTCCCTGGCAAAGTTGGTCAAGCCAGACCTGAGAGTGCACCTGGCTCACTTGCTACTGCCCTGCATTAATAACAATAAAACTGGCACGGGGGGTTACTTTTGGATGTAATTCAGATCATGTTGCCTTCAGTGGAAAATTTCTTGTGGGTGGCCGGAGGTAGCTCAGGATGAGGCATCTACAGGCTGGAAGTGCTCAAAACAAGGGAAATCCTCAGTGTGATGGGGAACAGGTCATCAAAACCCTGGCTCCCCAAAGCCTGGCAGGACCCCCCAGCTCCTCCCAGACCTCAGCATCTTCTGGCTCACAGCAAAGACTGGGTACCAGCTCATGCTCTCTTGGATGCAGTTTTTAAACTTAAATCTCTTAGGAGATCCTTAGTGTAATGATCTGCTCTGCTGTTGTTATGGAGTGGTGCAAATGGCTTTTTGAGGCTGGAGAGCTACTGCAGGTATTCAAAAGAAATAGAGATGCATTTTTATTTTCAGTGCCTGTCCTTCCAGTGATTTGTTCCATTTTATTAGAGGGCAGTGGGGAAGGGACTCAGCTCACTGATAAAGGCTTTGGGTGTGAAGGGCATCAGCCCTGTTTCTCCTACTGCCTCTGCCATGCAGTCCTTTCACCTTTCCTAGCCTTTCTCTAACCAGAGCATGATGATGCACTCTGTGTGTGCATATATGTATTTATATATTTGGCTTTGACCTGAGCATTCCCATTCAGGTTAAAGTTTCCTCTACCAATGTGCTTTATGCAACAGGGGTCCCTTCTTACTTTGATGTTTCTAAAAGCATTTCTTTAGAGATACCCTGTTCTCTGTGTACACTGTTGAAATCTTATTGTTATTGACCACCGGTGTTGGTTTGAAAAGTAATTTACCTAGCCAAGATTGTGGTGTGTGTCAGGGTGGTCTATATAAAATGTACGTGGGTCTCCTGGAAAGCCCAGCTCATTTAAAAATTAGTCAGTTTGAACAAAATAACCTGCTGAGGGAGGCTCATGCAGATTTTCTAACCTTGGAGGTATCTTGCCATGGGTGCACCTCTCGAGATGGGAGTGCACAATGGTGCTGAAGGTCAGACCCTGTTAAGTGTCTGCAAGTCAAGCAGCAAGGTCATGAGCAAGGTGGGAAATTCTGGCCTCACTTTTTCTTTTCAGATCTAAGATATCCAGGCAGGTTCTTCTCCGCACTTGCTCCCAGGTGGTCCTTTCTCACCCATTGCACTGTGCACCTGAAGCCGCCATCCTTGTCTTGATTAGGAAGGGTCAACGAAGGGCATAGGATGTCTTGGGATGTGTTGGCTGATCCTTTCAAATCTGCTTCAGCTCAGCCCCCTGCTCTTAGCGAGGCAGTGGATTTTTGGCTCAAAGAAGGTCAGCAGAAGCTGCCAGATCCTTGATATCTCTAAGGACTGAGCCCCAGCGATGCAGCCCCCAACTCTGGTCTTGGTGGCCACGGCTCTGCAGAGCCAGCAGGCTTGGGGACCCCTCAGACATGGGTGTGTAGGATGGAGGGGCTGACAAAGGAGCCCCATTTCTGGTGAGAAATGACCTTGGTGTAAACTGTGAATACAAATAACTTTGGAAAAGGCCAGCCTGGGGCTCTGGCTGTTTTCTAGGGCTTCTGGAAATGGGGGACTGGGATGACTTGTGTAGCTCTTGCTTGTCACTTGGGGTCCTCTGCACCGGGGAACCTTGGGGTGGCACTGGCTGGCGGTGCTCTCACCAGCTCCTCTCTTCTTCTCTCCTTCCCCATGTCCCACAGGATCACATCCCGGTGCCCTACCAGCCAGACTCCAGCAGCAACCCCTCCTCCACCACCTCCTCCACACCCTCCTCGCCGGCCCCACCGCTGCCGCCCAGCGCGACGCCCCCGTCCCCCCTGCACCCCTCCCCGCAGTGCCCACGCCAGCAGAAGCAGTTCAACTTGCCAGGTACCGTGAGGTCCCCACCTCCACATCTGCCCGATGAGAGGGGCTTGTGCCCCAGGGTGTCCTCAGGGTAAGGATCTGCTCCAGCTGCTTGCCTGCCTGGACTTACGCTGGGATGGGGGAAAATGCTGGAAGCAGAAACAAGCAGCAAAGATGAGTTTAGAATAATTCAGGTTGGGAGGGAGCTTGGGAGTCTCTAGTCAAACCTCCTGCTTGAAGGAGGGTCAGAGCTCAAGGCTTGGTCCAGTTTGGTCTTGAAAACCTCCAAGGATGGAGCCAGCACAGCCTCTGTGGGCAACCTGCTGCACTTGAGGCTACAAAAACCTTTCCAGGCATGACTTCTCCGTGGCGTGTGCCCACTGCATTGCCTCACCAGCAAATTGGAAACAAGGTCTTACCCCTCTACAAGGGTAACTTGGGTTGACTTCACTGTGCCTTTGGTGTGACAGGCCTCCAACAGGCTGCTTGTTAGTGCATGTGGGGTGCTAGTGGGGAGTAGCTGATGCTGGGGCTTTCTGATGTAGCTTGTCCCACTGAGTCTAGTCCGGGTATCTGGGACCCATGTGCTCCTGGAGCCTAGTCTCCTCAGGGATGGTGGAAGGATCAATTTGGTCACCTTAGCTGCAGGACATGGGAGTTACATTAAATGGCCAGAAAAGCTCCTCCTGGCCCGAGGACGTGACGAAGCCTGTTCCAGTGTGGCTGCCTTTGGGATGTCCTTGAGGCAGCGCTGCTGCTCCAGGGAAGGTCCCTTCCTGGGGGGAAATGGCTCAGCATCACTCCTGGCAGCGTGGAGGGGCTCAGCTGTCCTCAGCCACCCACCTGCCCCTCCAGTCGCTCTCAAAAAGGGCCTGGCAAGGGGAGAGGAGCAGGAGCCATGGCCTTGACCCATCTCTGAGATGCTGAAGCACTCACGGCTGACCTGGGGCTGGTGACCCCTGCTTGGTGTGTGGCCTCAAGCCTCTTTGATGGAGCAGCAGCCAGGAGGTTGGGGTCCCTCCTGCATCCCAAACCCCCCAGGGTTAACAAACCACTCCACTAGGAAGGAAGGTTGGGACTGCTTCTCCGGAGGAACCAGACGGCATCTTCATGCTTTGCTGATCCTGCTGCACCATGGTGATTCCTCCCTTCCATCTTGACAAGCCTTCGTCTAGAGAGGAGGAGGAGGGAGGCGAGGGGGGATTTGATTGGCAGGATCCATCACCACAATAACAAACATTTCCAAAAGCTGGGGTAAAAAAACCAAACCACACAGGTCCTTGTGTGCCTGGAGAGGCTGCAGCCGTACACAAGTCTCGCTCACTGGAGTGCCCGGGGTCAGGTGGGATGCTGGAGGGGTGTGAGGAAGACAGCGGAGGCGCTGCGAGGAAGAACTGAACACCCCAAGGAGTGATGTGACCCAGCTGTCAAGGAGACACTCGACTCCCTCTCCCGCTCCCCAGGTGGGGATTTTGCCAGCCACAGCCCTCGAGCCTCCAGGTTCTGGGAGGACAGTCCACAGCGTGGCTGCAAACCTGAGAGCACAGCGTGGATTTCCGTGCCGGTACAACCGAGTTCGTGGCGATCCAGCCAGAGCTGAAGCATCCTGACACCTCAGCAGTGTGACAGCCGGGCTCACAGTGACTAACATCCCCAAACTGCTTGCTGGGCAAGCCCTGGACCCTACCTGGGTCTGGGGAGAAGGGTCCAGCGTTTAGTGACCCAGTCATGCATCACTTCTGGAGCGGAGACCTTCCTGCAGGGCATTCGAGATGTTATTTTATGTTGTTTAAAACAGAAACCATAGAAGTAGCCACCACAGTGGGCAGCAGCATCTCCTTATGGGGACCTGGACATGCTGTCGCTGCCTCCGCAGCTGGGCCAGCGCAGGAAGCCCCTGGCACGCTTGCCCGGGTGGCAGGGATGGAGTGGGGCAGGATCAGACCCCGGCAGCTCAGGGGGGTGGCTGCTCCCTGCTTTCATGCCCATGATAAGCAGAGCCCTGTGGCAAATGGGAGCCAGTCTGACACAAAACAGAACTTACTGTGCTTTCATCTTCCCCGTGCGGGAAGTTCTCCATGCTTCATCTCGTCAAGATGGTCATCTTGGGGATTAGGATTTGAGCTTGGAAATTGCAACATGGTGATCTTTTTCTGACAGAATTACCTTTGAGTCTCCTTTGATCTCGGCTCAGAGCAGCTCAGGTCCTGCTGCAGAGCTGAGGTCGGTCTTTGGGGTCTCAAAGCTGGAGAGGAGAAGCTGAGGGATGGTCTTTTGGGTCCTGAAGCTTAAGGAGAAGGTGCCTTCTGAGCTGGTGCCAACCTCTGGTGGCCTCAGCAACTCTGCTTTGCTTCGTACCATGACCTGCCTGCCTGCTTGCATGGGTCAACTCAGCCCTTGGGCTTTGGCCGCTGGCAACAGGGAGCCCATGGAGTGTCCCACCACCCAGAGCCCTTCTGCAGCGCTGGCTTTGGGCAGCAGCTCCTGGGGCTGCCAAGAGCCTCTGGCTCCTTCCAGTGTGCTGGGAGGCAGGTGGGGAGCCCAGGAAGAACACGTCTCCAAAGCATGGCAAAAACGCATGATTAGGGTGGGCTGGATTGGGCAAAAATGGGCAGCAGCTGCAAATCCATCACTCGGTGTTTCCATGATGCTGAACGGTTCCCGAAGACCGGTTGGGAGCCGAGCACTCAAACCCTGTGGGCTTTTTCTGACAACCAGGTGTCCAAATTCCGCCGATGACTTTGCAGATGACATCAGCACTCTCCAAATGGTATAGGGCAGTAGCTGATGGTGGCAAAAATTGAGCTATAATCCAGCCAGATCGATAGAGGGATAAAGTCTTAATTTTTTTGGCTTGGGCACCCTACATGCCATCGTGGGTGTCATTCTCTGGAGAGATGGAGGTGGGAGAGGCTGGGTCATGCAGGGGGGGACCCAGAGCTGGCATTTCATGGTGCAGGGTTGGGTGCAGGTTGAAGTGTCTCCAGCATCTGGCTCTGCAGATTGGTGTTTAACCCCCCTTTTCTCTTTTCCAGCTTCCCATTACTACAAGTACAAGCAGCAGTTCATTTTCCCAGGTAAGTCTCTTCTAAAGTCTCTCCTGTAATGTGGGGTGCTGAGATATCCCTTAGTGGGGTGGGTGCATGACTGGCTCTCCTAACCCCTGGATTTGTGGAAGGGAGTTGTCCTGGGGTGGGATTTCTCCCCCAAACCAGTATATTGTTGCAGGACTGTGCACTAATAAGATGCTGCAGGGCTGGCTGGCCTTAAGTTAGACCCAGCTATAGCTAAGGGTGTAATTAAATTGGTCCTGGGGATGGAGGGAGGTTTTCAGTAGGATTTAGTTCCCCCGGGTGCCCCCGGCACTGGAAGGGGCTCCTGGTACATCTCAGCCCGCTCTCACTCCGTTCTCTTCTTCCCAGATGTGGTGCCCGAGACGCCGACGCGAGCCCCGCAGGTCATCCTCCACCCCGTCAACTCCAACCCCATGTGAGTGCCTCCCCCTCCTCCCGGCTGCCTTCACCATCCCCTCCCCAGGCAGCGCATCCTCCGCACCCTGCCTCCTCCGGGCACCCATGGGTGCTCCCCTGGCTTTTCAGGACCAGTTTGGGGCTCAGGGATGCTTTTTGGGCAGGGTGGGGTGGATGGTCGGGGTGAGCCCCCAGTGCTCCTGCTGCCCTAACCCAGCTCACGGCTCTGGCTCGTGTCTCAGGGAGGAGGAAGGTTGAAAGGAGAGGGCAGGGGATTGATTTATAACCCACAGCAATGCACCCGCCCAGTGCTTTGCCATCAGAAAAAAAATGACTTTCAGTCTGAGAAGCTAAAGCCCAAGCGATTAATCTTGTACTAAATTATAAGCAGAGAACCAGGGTCTTTGAGATAGTTTTAATAAAGGCGGTTCTTGCGACCGCACCTGCAGTCTTTTCAAGTCCAATAAACTTTGCGCTAAAATTAGTTTCGAAATGCACTATCTAATTGGCGTTAGGACCGACTCTCCCTGGCAGATTGAGTCCGAGCTGCTCTGCCAAATCTGGCATTTGCCGAGGTCCTCCTGCCTGCGCCGCCCCAGCAGCGGCGTTACATTTCAGGGGTGTTTGCTGATGCTCTTTATAAATGCCATTTCTGAAGGATTTTACAAGCCAGGAGTTTAACAGATAGAGCCTCGCTGCAGGCTGCGATGTGGTTGGTGTCCGGCTCACCCACGCTCTCCAAACTGCATCGGCAACTGCCGGGGGGTCTGGCTGATCTCATGTCTGGAGGAGATGACGGGGGGGACAGGGACAGAGCTGCTGTCCCCACCGGTGGCTGGTGGCTGGAAAATTAATGGCAAAGTCGTGAAGTCAAAGCTTTTTATTTTTCTCTTCTCCCCTGCTTAAAGCAAGGTATCAGGAGTAGGGCTGGCAGTCTTTTGTGGGCGAATAGCTTTCAATATGCAAAATCTGTGATTCTCTTCCTGCTCACCCCCACTGAAAATAACCCGTGGAAGCTGCTGAGGTTACCCCGGGCTTGGCTGGGTTAAACAGCAGACTCTGTTTCGGATACTCAGGAGACAGGTATTCGTGCCTGGGCTAAAGATCAGGCAGGAGGAGACTGCTGCTCCTGCAAACCGCCCGCGCATCGTGATGGGCGGCAGAAACCGTCTGCATCTACCTGGACTTTCTGTGCTGCTTCAGATACCAGGGTCGGCTCCTTTTATACAAGCACCTGTGTCTGCCCCGGGATTTATAGCTCTTTAGTGGCACTGAGTGGGATTAGAAGCACAGGACCACCATGTCTGAATGGCTCGGGGAGCGTTATCCTCTCCTGTGATCCTTGATGTCTCTGGGAGGGGATGCTGTTGTTTGTTATTGATAATAACAGTTTATAATATATTTATATTATGCTTGAAACCACACGAGCTGCTTCAGCTGATCTTCCCCACAGAATTTCCCTAATTCCCTGTTAACTGTCTGGTGCAGTGAGACCCTGGTCATGGACCTGGTGGTGGGAAGTGCTATGTAAGCAATGAAAAAGAGGTGCTCCTGGCCCAGGGAACTGGGAAACTAGACAAATTCGAGTGCTCTTACTTCAGGGAGGGTCTTTGAAACCGCCACTTCTCAAAAACAACTGAAAAAACTGTTTTTTTCTCTTCTGGCTGCTAATCAGGCGTGATTGTCACTTTGGCTGGCACTTGTTGGGAAGGTCATTCTGATCTTAGAATGGCAAAAAATGACCTAAAAATGGCATGAGTGCATGCCCCAGCGCTCCCTCGAGGTGGTGAAGAGCCGTGAGGGTGTAAATCCGTCCCTTGCCCTGGGTTAGCTGGGGGGATGCCTCCCTCCCGGGGCACGTGGTGGTGGTGCATCCTCTGCACCATGCGCTTTGGGCGGCGGGATGGAGACCTGGTGTGGTGCTCTCCCCCATCACCAAATCCATCCTGGAACTTCAAGCATCCAATATTAATTAGTGCAATAATATATATTGCTTACCCCCGCTATCCTCCCCTCTCCCGTGTGAGCACCCGGGGCTATTCCTTAGGGATGGAGGTAGGCAGGGTGTGGGTGGGAGGGGGTTGCTCTCCCAAATTAGCAGCGAGCCTGGTACTTCTCCTCCCTGATCCCTTCAGTCCTGCTGCAGAGCGATGCTGCGGGAAGCAGGACTCAACGCTTGCGTGTGTTCCCAACCTAACTGTCTTTTTACCTGGCGGTAATTCAGTAATTCTTTTAACAGCCTGGAAGGAAACCCATTGCTTCAAATTGAAGTGGAGCCCACCTCGGAGGTGAGATGGCTGGGCTTGCTGCTGTGCTTAACGGGCCTTTCTTTTATATATATCTTGGGGCACATTTCACAGAAACCAGATAAGTTTAGCATCTGTGCAGTGAAATTGCTGATAATTAAATTAACGGCCAGGCCTGAACCTGCCCAGACATCCGTGTCCCCACCCCATGAAGAGGGACCCTCATGGGCTTTGTGTCTGCCCTCAAGTTTATAATTTAATGAGCCTTTCTGAGAAGCATTAAACATGTGGTGGAGGGGAAGGGGTGAAGCGTAAGGACAGGGATGCAGCTTTTAATAGGCATTGTAAATCCTGTAGAAAGCTTATGCAGAGTGTTGAGGAAAAGTCAGACCCGTGCCGGGGAGCTGGGCGAGCAGGCCAGGGGGTGCCAGGGCAGGAGCAGTCGGTATTAGGGGAGAACAGCTTGGCCAGTGTAGGATGAAACACCTGCGTTCAGACAAATTAATTAAATGCTCCAATGTGTCACACTCTTTTATTTAACCCTGGGGTAAATAAATGCCTCCCTGCAAATTCTGGGTTTCTGCTGGCTTTGCATAAAACACAGCTGCCCGGTTGCCTTTGGAAGGTACCTACCCAGTTTTTCTGGGTCTGACCAAGCAGTAGGTGGGTTAATAGAGTTTTGTCCACATTATCTTCCTTGGATACAGTTTTTTTCCCCCCCCCCCTGTTTTATGGTGCTCACCTCCATTTTCCCTCCCCGCAGAACGAGGAAGGCCCCGAGGAGGCGCAGGAGTCCGAGGATGACTTCGAAGAGATGAACCTCTCGCTCCTCTCCGCACGCAACTTCCCCCGCAAGGCCAGCCAGACCAGCATCTTCCTCCAGGAGTGGGACATCCCCTTTGAGCAGCTCGAGATCGGCGAGCTCATTGGCAAGGGCCGCTTTGGGCAGGTCTTTCACGGGCGCTGGCACGGGGAGGTGGCCATCCGCCTCATCGACATCGAGCGGGACAACGAGGACCAGCTGAAAGCCTTCAAGAGGGAGGTGATGGCGTACCGGCAGACCCGGCACGAGAACGTGGTGCTCTTCATGGGAGCCTGCATGAGCCCTCCCCACCTCGCCATCATCACCAGGTAAGCCCCGACATCTCGTGCTCAGCTGGAATAACTTTTTCTTTCCAAAACACCTCCCTGCGGTCAAACGTTACCGGGAGGCAAGGCTGGCCGTGCCTCCCTGCCCTAGCAAAGGGGCGTTCCCCACCTGCTGTGATTTATGCTGCAAAGCAGATAGCAAACCCATCTAAGTGGGTCCAGGCAGATTCACCTCCTGTAGAAGTCGAGCCTGAGACAGGAATGGTTTGTTTTAACCAGGGATGGGAATGATTTGCTTTAATCAGGAAAGATGTAACCTGGTGGGAGAAGCAGTTTCTGTCCCGGGGGTATTTTTTTTTGCATGGTACCCTGGTTGGATCCCTGGGTGGATGGTGGGGTCTGGACCCTGCTCGAGCGCTGCCACAGCATGGAAAAGCCTCTAATTGCATAAAGCATCTGGTCACGTGTGAACACCACGTTTCGTGAATAAATTGTTGCTGTGAAAACAGCTCAGGTGTCTGAAGGCTCACTAGGGTGCAAGTGTTAGGTCCAGCGGTCTGTGAAGTGGCCAGACAGGCAGCAGAGGTGGGAAAACTGGGCGCTTGCAAGGACGGCTGGTACTCCACAGGTCTGAGGCCCGTCCACAGTGTCTCCTTGCTCCCAAAGAGGTGGGAGACTTTGCAAGTCACGGTCTCCTGGAGCGTTTCCTCCTTTTCCCAAAGCTGCTGTCTCTATTACACCCCAGACTGGGTATGGGACTAATAGGAGTGAGTTTGGGATGGGGCCAGGGGAAGGAGACTTGGGGACATTGCAGCAGGGTGCAGGGGTGAGACAGCTGGAGGGGGCTTCTTGCAGCTGGTTGGAGAGGAAGCTGGGATATGGGGTCTCCCAAACCATCTCAAACACCCCTAGAGCTTCCTTGGTCTCAAGGAATTCTCATGCTCCTGCTGTCACCCAGCAGCACCGAGCATCCCTGCTGAAGTAGCACCGAGCATCCCAGTGTACTCTTTGCATGGGTGGGCAAGCACAAAATCTCTGCTGGCCTTGAGGCAGGGAGGCTGCAGCTGCTCCCAGAGCAGCTGTTGTCATGTAAAATGGATTTATTACTCAGTATTCAGTTATTTCCCTCACCTCTAGACCATGTATTCAGCCACGGGGCTTGACGCAGTGCCACTTTGCATCCCACCACGGGCTACCTTCTCTCAGAGCAGTTTCCCCAAGGTGGGGTTGAATTTTCAGCCTTCTCCTGGCAGTGTTTCAAAAAGCCTGAGCTGAAATGGCAACACTTCTGACAGCCATTAGAGATGAAATATTGCATCATCCTTTCCTAATGTCCCCTTGGAAGCAGCACCTCCCAGCCCCCCAGTCCCAGCTGGGGTGGCTCTGGGAGTACTGGGGTGGGGGCTTTGCTCTGCTCTCCCTCCTACTCAACAGCAAAGTATTTCAATCCAAATTTGTGGCTCCTCATGCCATCGCTTGCTCCCTGCTCCGGTGGGCTCATGGACTGCGTGAGGCTTGGGAGCTGCATCTTCCAGAGATGTGACTCCAAACAGGGGCTGGATCTCCCCAGCTGAGGACTGGAAAAAATATGCTTTTTATTTTGGACCAAAAAACAGTCATCTGGGAAAATCCAACAGCACTTTAGATCCCCATCAATTAGCTAGCTTCAGGCCAAAGGCTTTTGAAAAGTGTGCAAACACATGTATTGATAGATGCGTCAGAGACCCATCCATGTGTTACACCGTGTTGCCATCTGTACCCAGAGGAAAATGCAGCTTCTTTGTCCCGCTCTGGTCTGTGATCCCTTTGCAGCCCCTATTTGCTCAGCTTTTCAATTCTATTCAATATCAAAACCTGGGCAATATATTCTCTCTTTTTTTTTTTTTTTTTTTTAGCTACAAAATGTTTTCTATTCTAATGCCTCTTTATATAAAATCATAAAGATGCCATTTTTGACAGTTTGACAAAATAAATATGTGTGCTGCGGTAGCTTGATGCATTAATATGAGATCTGTGAAGCGCACTGCTCGACTTGCTTTTCTTCTCAGCTGCACTTGGTCCTCTTTTTAAGGTCAAAGTACAACTTTATTGGATTGTCGTAAATATAACCTGTGCTCACAATGTCTCCAAGCATTGCCTGCTCTTTGCCTACAACCAGCAGCCCGCTTTTATCCGTATTCTTCGAAAGCTGAATCAACATCATGATAGTTTTTCAATTGCAACTGGAAACCTGTTTGATTTTCTCTGGATGGGATCTCTGGGGTGCGACTGGCTCATGTCTGGTGCTGGGCTGGCCATGAGGATGCAGGAAAGCCGAGGGGGGTGCTGGAAGGGGGCTCAGAGCAGTCTCAGGGAATTTTGGGGAAGCCCAGGGCTGCATGAGTGCACATCCCTTAGCCTGGAGGTCATTTCTAGACACAATTTATTCCCTTTTGAGGCTTCTCATGGGGCTCTGCTCTGCTGGTGTTTCCCCAGGAGGGACCTCTGGGGCTCTCAGGGCAAAGCATCCCTTGCATTTCCCGGGGTGAAGGTGCAGAGATGCTCTCTTTCCCTTGCACTTGCAGTCTTTGTCTGGTCTATCCTTGGTTGAACATTTTTGGGGGCTTCTTGGGACATCTCTGCTCATCTGCTGTGGGAAAAAGCCTTCTTGCCGGGTGGAGGTCTCCACCCCATGCACGTTTCCTTATCTGGCCCTGTTTCTTGGAATAGGCAGGTCTTTCCTGGGGGATATGACAGCCCTGGGGACTCTTCTGCCACGGCACAGCTAGGAGCTGCTGCTCGGGCATTACAGGGAATGAGTCTGGGAAGAGGACAATGTGGTGTGAGCTGGACTGGGAATGGTGTCTAGCATGCTGGGAATGGTCGAGGATACTGGGGGAGGTCGGAGGCTGGTGACCCTGTACAGGGGAGAGCATTGCTCTTCAAACAGGATTTTTCTGAAGGGACTCAAGCTCTCCCTGTGGTTTTGGGGGGAATAACTTTAAGCCAGTGGAAAATCAATCCCAGCTGCCTGATGGGGCTAATTACAGATAAAAATCCAGGATGTCCAGCTATCCTCTCCCGCTCCTTCCTGTGCACGTCCCCGGGGCTGAAGTGGCTGTGTGCAGAAGAGGTCCCTGTTCTGAGTGCTCAGAGGTGGTCGCTCAAGGATGGTTTTTTCCTCCAAGAAAAGAGCAATTTCTTGTAGCTGCTAAAGAAATCTCCGTTTTCCTGCCAGCACGCTGGAAACAGCTGCCAGTCCCTGGAAGGGGCTTTACCATGCCGTGCCGCCCGGTGCTGCCGCAGGGGGGGTTATTTATAGTTGGATTTATTTTTACTTTTTCACATCCTTATGTTTTCCTTCCTGCTTGCTTGTGATATTCAAGGATCATCTCATTAGTAGAAAGAAATATCCCGCTCTAAACACCAGGGCCCACAGGCAAAAGCTGGAAGGAGAAACTGAGCCAGAGTCTTGCTGATGGCATGATGCTTTGGGTTAATGCTCTGATTTTCTCTGTATTAACCATTGGTCTGGCCAGGTGATTGGGACCAGTACTTCTTAATATCTTCAGAAAAGACATTGATGGTGGAATCCAGTGCACCCTCAGCACGTTTGCAGATGACACCAAGCTGAGCGGTGAGGTTGAGATGCCTGAGGGATGGGATGCTACCCGGAGGGACGAGCTTGAGAAATGGGCCCATGTGAACCTCATAAGGTTCAACAGAGCCAAATGTAAAGCCCTGGTATCAGTACAGGCTGGGGGATGAAGGGATTGAGCAGCCCTGTGGAGAAGGACCTGAGGGTGCTGGTGGATGAAAAGCTGGGCAGGAGCCAGCCCCGTGCGCTGGCAGCCCAGAACCCCCCCGTGCCCTGGGCTGCAGCCAGAGCAGGGGGGGCAGCAGGGCCGGGGGGGGATTGTCCCCCTCTGCTCCGCTCTGGGGAGACCCCCCTGCAGTGCTGGGGCCAGCTCGGGGGCCCCCAACAGCAGAAGGACCCGGAGCTGCTCGAGCGGGGCCAGAGGAGGCCACGGAGATGCTGGGGGGGCTGGAGCAGCTCCCCTGGGGGGCCGGGCTGAGAGAGTTGGGGGGGTTCAGCCTGGAGAAGAGAAGGCTCCGGGGAGCCCTTCGAGCGGCCTCCCAGGGCTTAAAGGGGGCTCATAAGAAAGATGAGGACAAACTTTTTAGTAGCGGCTTTAGAGATAGGACAAGGGGTAATGGTTTTAAACTAAGAAGGTAGATTCAGATTAGCTATAAGAAAGAATTTTTTTATCATGTGGGTGGTGAAACACAGGCACAGGTTGCCCAGAGAGGTAGTAGATTCCCCATCCCCGGAAACATTCAAGGCCAGGTTGGGCGGCGATCTGAGCAACCTGATCTAGTTGAAGACGTCCCTGCTCACTGCAGGGGGGCTGGACTAGATGACCTCTAAAGGTCCCTTCCAACCCAAACTGTTCTGTAAGTCTATGATTCTTGAGTTGTCTCTTAACGCGACTGTCTGGGTCGGAAAGGCAAGAAGGAAATTCAGCAATTTTGGCAATAGGAGGTGGTGACTCCAAAGAGTGCTTCCATCACAGCTGCTAATAGATTTTCTCTTGGGTAATGAGCGGTGGGGACAGTTAACATTCATCTTAATTAGTCTTGAGCAAGAGCGAATGGGAGCCTTGGAGCTTTGAGCGCTGCATAATGGATAGCACAAAACGGCATCAAAGTCCTCAGCTCGGTGGAAATGAAAGGACTGAAAAAAATGCCATGTTTGCTGCATACAGGCAAATGACAAGTTGTTTTTGCCAGTGTTAAATGAGACAAAGCCAGGCCTGGGTAAGCTCACGTCAGCTCCTCAGGGCTCCCGGTCCCGGCCCCCGTCGGTGGCAGCGCGAGGAGGGGAGGCAAAGCCTCAGCCACCCAGGAGGTCCTTCAAAGGACAAAGTCTAACAGTTTTTTAATGCTATTAAAATGGCTTGAGCCACCCACGAAAGTAATGGATTGCAGAAAGTACCAGGTTTTAGGATTCTGGGTGTTCCTTCTGGGGAAAAAAAAAAAAAAAAAAAAAAAAAAAGGAATTT